CCCCCCCCCCCCATCCATCCACCATCCATCCATCCACCCACCATCCATCCACCATCTATCCACCATCCATTCATCCACCCACCACCCATCCATTGATCTATCCACCCATCCATCCATCCACCCACCAACCATCCACCCACCATCCATCCACCATCCATCCATCCACCCACCAACTATCCACCCACCCATCCATCCACCCACCATCCATCCACCATCCATCCATCCACCCACCAACTATCCACCCACCCATCCATCCACCCACCATCCATCCACCATCCATCCATCCACCCACCAACTATCCACCCACCCATCCATCCACCATCCATCCATCCACCCCTCCACCCATCCATTCATCCATTCACCCACCCATTCATCTGTCCATCATCCATCCACCATCCACCATCCACCCACCCGTATATCCATACATACATCTGTCATCCGTTTATCTGTCCACCCGTTCATCCACCCAGCCACTTGCCTGCCTTTCCTGATACCATCTCGTCATCTCATCTGTCTGTCCATCTACCCATCCATCTGTCTGCCCATCCACCCATCCATCCATTCGTCCATCCACTCATCCATCCACCCATCTGTCCATCCTCCCACCCATCCATCTGTCCGTCCATCCACTCATCCACCCATCCACCTGTCCATCCTCCCACCCGTCCACCTGTCCGTCCTCCCACCCGCCCACCTGTCCATCCATCCACCCATCCACCCGTCCACCTGTCCATCCTCCCACCCGTCCACCTGTCCGTCCTCCCACCCGCCCACCTGTCCATCCATCCACCCATCCACCCGTCCACCTGTCCATCCTCCCACCCGTCCACCTGTCCGTCCTCCCACCCGCCCACCTGTCCATCCATCCACCCATCCACCCGTCCACCTGTCCATCCTCCCACCCGTCCACCTGTCCGTCCTCCCACCCGTCCACCTGTCCGTCCATCCACCCATCCACCCGTCCACCTGTCCATCCTCCCACCCATCCACCTGTCCGTCCTCCCACCCACCCGTCCACCTGTCCATCCTCCCACCGTCCACCTGTCCGTCCTCCCACCCGCCCACCTGTCCATCCATCCACCCATCCACCACCCATCCATCCACCATCCATCCACCATCCACCCACCACCCGTCCAGACCCGGTAGGGCCCCACCTGTCCGTCCTCCCACCCACCCATCCGTCCGTCCATCCCTCCAGGCAGCCAGCTGTGGTGGCTGCCAGGTCTACTGGCGTGCCCGCGGCCCAGCCACTCCCTTAACTGTGCGTGGGCCCCACTCGCTAATGGGGGTCCCAGTGGGCACCCCTCTGTGGAGCCGGGGTGGCGTGCGATGCCGACACTGCCCGTGGCCACCGTCTGGACTCCGGGCACAGGCTCAGGCCCCGCCTGTCTGCTGTCACGCCAGGTGGTGGTGTCCCGCGTGGCCCGGGTGTGCAAGAACGACGTGGGGGGCTCGCCACGCGTGCTGGAGAAGCAGTGGACGTCCTTCCTGAAGGCGCGGCTCAACTGCTCGGTGCCCGGGGACTCCCACTTCTACTTCAACGTGCTGCGCGCGGTCACGGGCGTGGTCAGCCTGGGCGGCCGGCCCGTGGTCCTGGCCGTCTTCTCCACGCCCAGCAACAGGTCAGCGGGCGCCGGGGCGCGCGGGCGTGGGCGGAGAGTGGCCCAGGTCCAAGACGGACCCCTGAGGCCCGCAGCTCAGAACTAGGGGAGGGCCAGCAGGTGGCGGGTGGAAAAGCGCTGGCTCCCACGTGGCTCACCGCGTGGTTCAAGTCCTAGACCCAGCAGCTTGGAAAACATGCTGGGTCCAAAATCCCGAGAGAAGGGAAGAGAAGACGGTGGCGTGGCCATCCACCCAGGGGGTGATTTCTCACTTTCCCTCTGTCTCTGTCTCCTCGACCAACAATAGCAGAGAACTTGGTGGCTGGCACGTCCTCACCCTCTGCTTTTAGTGGGAGGAGGCATGAGGACTTCCTGGAGGAAGGGGACCTGGAGGAGTGGCCTGTGCTATCCCAAGGCCACCATGGGCTTGCTGTGTCCCAGTGACAGCCAGGAGTCCTGCATGGCCACAGGGGGAGGACAGGGAAGGTGGAGGAGGAGCCCGAGAGTCCTAGGCAGCCATGGGAGAGAGAGGAGCAGGGAGGGCAGGGCACATCTGCATTTCGGGGAAGCCTGGGGAGTGGGTGGAGGGTGACCAGAGGGCAGAGGTGGGGACGACCGGGGCAACTGGGCTCCAGCACAGGAGGAGGGGGAGCAGCGGAGTTTGGTGGTGGGACTCTGCGGCTTGGCAGGACCAGGCCTCCGGGCAGGGCCCCACCGAGGTCCCCAACCCTCTCGCCTCACCCCCAGCATCCCCGGCTCGGCCGTGTGTGCGTTCGACATGACGCAGGTGGCAGCCGTGTTTGAGGGCCGGTTCCGTGAGCAGAAGTCCCCCGAGTCCATCTGGACGCCCGTGCCCGAGGACCAGGTGCCGCGGCCACGGTGAGCCCCCGGAACTGTGCCTGTACACGCGGGGGAGGCCAAGGCCCTTTGTCAGGGTGTGGGCCCCCGGGAAGCAGGCCCTAGGGGGCCCAGTGCGCTCTGACCGCCATGCCACGCCCAGGCCCGGCTGCTGCGCCACCCCCGGCTCCCAGTACAACGCCTCCAGCGCCCTGCCCGACGAGATCCTCAACTTCGTCAAGACGCACCCGCTGATGGATGAGGCGGTGCCCTCCCTGGGCCACGGCCCCTGGATCGTGCGGACCCTGACGCGGTCAGTGCCTGCGGGGCCGGGAGGGGCCGTCGGACGTGGGCATAGCCGAGCCTGCGGCTCCTGGAGAGACGGAGAGACAGAGGGAGGGCGGGAGGAGGGAGACGGACACGCACCATAGTGGGGGGCCCTTCTGGTCCCTGCTCTGCCACTGACGGCCGAGGTCACCAGTCCAGGTGCCCTGCAAGGCAGAGCAGTCGTTAGCTCCCGGCTTTGGAGGCCCGAGAGCAGGAGCCACTTCTGGGGGGGCATCTCCCTGTGGGTGAGGACCCCAGCAGGCAGTGCAGGGCCAGAGGGCCCTCCCTGTCCTGAACCCCCCAAGGTCATCGGGGCACCACCCCCGGCCTTATCTAATCTGATTCTTCCCCCAAAGGCCCTGCCTCTTTTTTTTTTTAATTTGCCAGAGGGCCAGAAAGAGACAGAGGACAGGGAGAAAGCGTCCCCAGGGGACCCCTCACCTCCAGTTCTCCTTTCGGGATTCGGGGCACATGCTCACACCCCCGGCATGTTCTTCATGCCGGTGGGTCCAGGGCTTGAACAGTGCAGTCGGCCATGTGGGATCTAGTTCCTTAACCACCACCCCACCTGCTGCCCAGCCCACCACTGCTGCTACTTCTTCTCCTTTTTATTTTTTATATATAGGGCATGTGTGCTCACCAGAGAGAGACAGAGACAGAGAGGGAGAATGAGGGAGGGTGAGAAATCACCCCCCGCGGGAGGATGGCCAATCCGCAATCCCTTCTCCTCCATTCTCCTCCTGGGATTTGGGCACGCACACACATGTGCCCAGTGTGATTCTCAAGTCTCCAGGTCCAGGACTCGAACCGTGGAAGTCCAGCACCTTCACCACCATGCCACCTGCTGGCCCCTGGCCCCACTTCTTTTTTTTTCTTAAGAATTATTTTATTTCGGGACCAGCAGTTAGCATAATGGCTATGTCGCTGGACTCCCATGTAGTTGACCGCGGTTCGAGTCCCAGACCCAGTGGCTTAAACTCATGCCGAGCGCATGTGCTTGCGTGCCCAAGATCCCGAGAGGAGAATGGAGGAGAAGGGATTGCGGCGTGGCCATCCCCCCGGGCGGTGATTTCTCGCTTTCTGTCTCTGTTTCTCTCTGTCTTTCTGGTGCGCGCACGTGCCCTATAGCAAAAACCTCTCCAAAAATAAAAAAAAAAAAATTTTAATTAAAAAAAGAATTATTTTATTTAACTTTACTTATTTTAATTTGACCAGAGAGGGACAGAGAGTGAACGAAAGAGAGAGGGAAAGTGAGAAGGCCCGGGAATCAAACTGCAGTCAGCCATGTGGGAGTCCAGCGCCCTTAGCCACCAGCCACGGGCCGGCCCCTGAGCCGGGTAACATCTCCGCCCTCTTAATGCCATCACTTCCCAATTTCCATCATGGATTTTGGGGGGCACATTCGAACCACAGCGCAGACGAGGGCCGGGAGATGAGTGCGAAGGGCCGTCACAGACGCCTAGAGAGTCCACCGGGGAGGGCGGCCGAGCGCCAGCGGGTTGGGGCCAGCTTCTCCGGCCCTCTGTGGCGTGCCGGGCGCCGTGCGCGTTTGCCGTGCGCGTTTGCCGTGCGCGTTCGTTTGGTGTTCTGTGTCTCTGTCCGTGCACCCTGTGGACACGGGTGGTGCCTGGTGGCCTAGGACCCCCAGGACATGCCCGCCGCCCCTCCCCCGTCCTGCAGGCACCAGCTCACCCGAGTGGCCGTGGACGTGGGCGCCGGCCCCTGGGGCAACCAGACCGTCGTCTTCCTGGGCTCCGAGGCGGGCACCGTGCTCAAGTTCCTGGTGCGCCCCAACGCCAGCACGCCGGGCACCGCCGGGGCCAGCGGC